AGGCCTTAAATGACACACTGGACCGGATGGACATCACAGATGTATTCAGAACATTTCATCCCAAAGCAACAGAGTACACATTCTTCTCTAGTGCACATGGAACATTCTCCAGAATAGATCACATCCTCGGTCCTAAATCAGGTCTCAACCGGTATCAAAAGATTGGGATCATTCCCTGCATATGTTCAGACCACAACGCTCTGAAGAGAGAACTCAATCACAAGAGGAAATTTGGAAAGAACCCAAATACATGGAGACTAAACAGCATCCTTCTAAAGAATGAATGGGTCAACCAGGAAATTAAAGAAGAATTGAAAAACATCATGGAAACAAATGATACTGAAAACACAACGTTTCAAACTCTGTGGGACACAGCAAAGGCAGTCCCGAGAGGAAAATATATAGCGGTACAAGCCTTTCTCAAGAAACAAGAAAGGTCTCAGCTACACAACCTAACCCTACACCTAAAGGAGCTGGAGAAAGAAAAAGAAAAAAACCCTAAACCCAGCAGGAGAAGAGAAATCATAAAGATCAGAGCAGAAATCAATGAAATAGAAACCAAAAAAACAATAGAACAAATCAATGAAACTAGGAGCTGGTTCTTTGAAAGAATTAATAAGATTGTTAAACCCCTGGCCAGACTTATCAAAAAGAAAAGAGAAAGGACCCAAATAAATAAAATCATGAATGAAAGAGGAGAGATCACAACTAACACCAAAGAAATACAGACAATTATAAGAACATATTATGAGCAACTCTACGCCAACAAATTTGACAATCTGGAAGAAATGGATGCATTCCTAGAGACATATAAACTACCACAACTGAACCAGGAAGAAAGAGAAAACCTGAACAGACCCAGAACGAGTAAGGAGATTGAAACAGTCATCAAAAATCTCCAAACAAACAAAAGCCCAGGGCCAGATGGCTTCCCCGGGGAATTCTACCAAACATTTAAAGAAGAATTAATTCCTATTCTCCTGAAACTGTTCCAAAAAATGGAAATGGAAGGAAAACTTCCAAACTCATTTTATGAGGCCAGCATCACCTTGATCCCAAAACCAGACAAGGATCCCATCAAAAAAGAGAACTACAGACCAATATCCTTGATGAACACAGAGGCAAAAATTCTCACCAAAATACTAGCCAATAGGATGCAACAGTACATTAAAAGGATTATTCACCACGACCAAGTGGGATTTATTCCAGGGCTGCAAGGTTGGTTCAACATCCGCAAATCAATCAATGTGATACAACACATTAATAAAAGAAAGAACAAGAACCATATGATACTCTCAATAGATGCTGAAAAAGCACTTGACAAAGTACAGCATCCGTTCCTGATCAAAACTCTTCAAAGTGTAGGGGTAGAGGGCACATACCTCAATATTATCAAAGCCATCTATGAAAAACCCACCGCAAATATCATTCTCAATGGAGAAAAACTGAAAGCTTTTCCGCTAAGGTCAGGAACACGGCAGGGATGTCCATTATCACCACTGCTATTCAACATAGTACTAGAAGTCCTAGCCTCAGCAATCAGACAACAAAAGGAAATTAAAAGCATCCAAATCAGCAAAGGAGAAGTCAAACTATCACTCTTCACAGACAATAGGATACTATATGTGGAAAACCCAAAAGACTCCACTCCAAAACTGCTAGAACTTGTACAGGAATTCAGTAAAGTGTCAGGATATAAAATCAATGCACAGAAATCAGTTGCATTTCTCTACACCAACAACAAGACAGAAGAAAGAGAAATTAAGGAGTCAATCCCATTCACAACTGCACCCAAAACTATAAGATACCTAGGAATAAACCTAACCAAAGAGGCTAAGAATCTATACTCAGAAAACTATAAAGTACTCATGAAAGAAACTGAGGAAGACACAAAGAAATGGAAAAATGTTCCATGCTCCTGGATTGGAAGAACAAATATTGTGAAAATGTCTATGCTACCTAAAGCAATCTACACATTTAATGCAATTCCTATCAAAATTCCATCCATTTTTTTCAAAGAAATGGAACAAATAATCCTAAAATTTATCTGGAACCAGAAAAGACCTCGAATAGCCAAAGGAATATTGAAAAAGAAAGCCAAAGTGGGTGGCATCACAATCCCGGGCTTCAAGCTCTACTACAAAGCTGTCATCATCAAGACAGCATGGTACTGGCACAAAAACAGACACATAGATCAATGGAACAGAATAGAGAGCCCAGAAATAGACCCTCAACTCTATGGTCAACTAATCTGCGACAAAGCAGGAAAGAATGTCCAATGGAAAAAGACAGCCTCTTCAACAAATGGTGTTGGGAAAATTGGACAGCCACATGCAGAAAAATGAAATTGGACCATTTCCTTACACCACACACGAGAATAGACTCAAAATGGATGAAGGACCTCAATGTGAGAAAGGAATCCATCAAAATCCTTGAGGAGAACACAGGCAGCAACCTCTTCGACCTCAGCCGCAGCAACATCTTCCTAGGAACATCGCCAAAGGCAAGGGAAGCAAGGGCAAAAATGAACTATTGGGATTTTATCAAGATCAAAAGCTTTTGCACAGCAAAGGAAACAGTTAACAAAACCAAAAGACAACTGACAGAATGGGAGAAGATATTTGCAAATGACATATCAGATAAAGGCCTAGTGTCCAAAATCTATAAAGAACTTAACAAACTCAACACCCAAAGAACAAATAATCCAATCAAGAAATGGGCAGAAGACATGAACAGACATTTCTACAAAGAAGACATCCAGATGGCCAACAGACACATGAAAACGTGCTCCATATCACTCGGCATCAGGGAAATACAAATCAAAACCACAATGAGATACCACCTCACACCAGTCAGAATGGCTAAAATTAACAAGTCAGGAAATGACAGATGCTGGCGAGGATGCGGAGAAAGGGGAACCCTCCTACACTGTTGGTGGGAATGCAAGCTGGTGCAACCACTCTGGAAAACAGCATGGAGGTTCCTCAAAATGTGAAAATAGAACTACCCTATGACCCAGCAATTGCACTACTGGGTATTTACCCTAAAGATACAAACGTAGTGATCCGAAGGGGCAAGGGCACCTGAATGTTTATAGCAGCAATGTCTACAATAGCCAAACTATGGAAAGAACCTAGATGTCCATCAACAGATGAATGGATAAAGAAGATGTGGTACATATACACAATTTTATACTATGCATCCATCAAAAGAAATGAAATCTTGCCATTTGCGACGACGTGGATGGAACTAGAGGGTATCATGCTTAGCGAAATAAGTCAATTGGAGAAAGACAACTATCCTATGATCTCCCTGATATGAGGGAGAGGAGATGCAACATGGGGGGCTTAAAGGGGTAGGAGAAGAGTAAATGAAACAAGCTGGGATTGGGAGGGAGACAAATCAGAAGTGACTCTTAATCTCACAAAACACACTGAGGGTTGATGGGGAGAGGGGGGTTGGGTGAAGGGGGGTGGGGTTATGGACACTGGGGAGGGTATTCCCTATGGTGAGTGCTGTGAAATGTGTAAACCTGGCGATTCACAGACCTATACCCCTGGGGATGAAAATATATTATATGTTTATAAAAAATAAAATAAAATTTAAAAAATAAGATATTTTCTAGACACCAAGTACATCCCAGAAAAGGCAATAATGCAAAATTCAAGAAAAGTACAAGAAATTGTTCTTTATTATGTGGACAGTGTTCAGATCTGAACGGAAGAACAATGCTATCTATACTACTAATTATGGGTTGAATTACGTGCCCCCAAAATGCATATTAAAGTCGTAACACCCAATACCTCAGGATGTGACTCTACTCGGAAACAGCATCTCTACAAAGGTAATCAAGTTAAAATGTGGTCATTAGAGTGGCCCCTGATCCAGTAAGACTGGCAGCCTCATAAAGAGGGAATATTTAGAGAAAGTCATGCATTCAGGGAGAATGCCAAGTGAAGATGAAGGCAGGGATCAGGGCGACGATTCTATAAACCAAAGAATACCAAAAACTGCTAGCAAATCACCAGAAGCTAGACAAAACACATGGATTATATTATTCACAACCCTTAGAAAGATCCAAACCTGCTGACACCTTGATCTCAGATTTCCAGAACTATGAGGTAATGAATTTCTGTTGTTTAAGCCACACAGTTGGTGGTACTTTGTTATGGTAGTCCTATAAACCAGCAGCAAAATCTTACATAAACAAGCTTTCAATTGTTGATAAACAACCAATGTTCTTAGGGTTCAGAGAAGTGTCACATAATTGACACTCCATGTCCTTCCAACCAATGACACACACACATGCATGCACACACACATTATGAAAACCTAAAATCATTAACAATTATTTATAAAACAAAATTATATTTACCTCCTTCATTAAAATTTTCAATGTATTCTGAATATGTACTATGTGCCATTTAGAGTATAAGGTTCAGGGCAGAAAAAAGTTAACAAGATCCAATCCCTACTGGATGGGAATTTGTAATCAAGTTTCAATCTTCCCATTCAGAATACCCACAGCACTTGATGATTGTGATGCAATATTACTTTTCCTGTTTGGTTAGTGTTCAACTGAATCTGCTCCCTAATAATTTCTTCATAGAAGACCTCCTCTCTGACAAGGACTAAGTTCTGTGAGCATGTCACATAGATACAGGTACATGATAAACATTCAATAATTAATGATTTATCAAAAAGTCAAATTATATCTGTTTTATCCCAAAAGAAATAATATCTGAAAAGTCATTTTATAAAATATAAATGCTCATTAGTATTACCATTATACCACTAAATAATCACTTATAGCAATAAAAACATAGCATTTCATTTTCAAGTATTTCCAAGATAATTCTTTAAAAAGTGATTTTTCTCCTGACAACTTATTCCATTATGATGAAATATTAAATGGGTTGAATCACACCAAATGAACAGATGAATTGGATTTTGAAACAATCTAAGACAAATTCAAAAGCAATGGTCTTTAATACACTCACCACTTTCAAAGCAAGCATCAAAGATAAGATGTCCTTTCTTGGGCTGTCCACAGTATCCAGACGGAAGCACCATATATTTGCTTACATTCCCTCCAATGGCATCGTCATTTCCCACATCATTGCCTATTAAAAAAAAAAAAAAAAAAAAAAGGCTCATGTTTAACAGAAATCAAAATACATTTAGGAATATAAATCCAATGAGATTTTTATTATTATTTATTATTAAGCCTCAGTTTTTCCCATCCATTATTAAGGAATGGTAAATGAAAATACCTAGCATGACTACTAAAATCCAAAAGATGTCCATTAAATTGCACCAAGTATTTAATAAGTGATTAATATACTTAAACTCTCATAAATGTTCAGTTAGGGGAGCCTGGGTATCTCAGTTAAACATCTGCCTTCACCTCAGGTCATGATCCCAGGGATCAAGGTCCCTCTTCAGTGGGGAGTCTCCTTGTCCCTCATCCTTCACCTCCCCCCAACCTTGTGTGCGCTCTCTCTCTCTCTCTTGCACGAGCCTGCTTGCTCTCTCAAATAAATCTTTTAAAAAAAGAACTGTTTAATTATTTTAATTCAAATAACACAATAATTCTATAGCTAGCATTATAACTTCCTAATGTTCCACAACCAGAAATAATTTGAGAACTACTGAATTAACAAATAAGTTATATTATACTGGCAGTAGGAATGCACGCTGGTACAGCTACTCTGGAAAACAGTATGGAGGTTCCTCAGAAAGTTGCAAATAGAGCTACTCTATGAACCAGCAGTTGCACTACTAGGTGTTTACCCCAAAGATATAAATGTAGTGATCTGAAGAGGAACCTGCACTCCAATGTTCATAGCAGTAATGTCCACAATAGTCAAACTGTAGAAAGAGCCGAGATGTCCATCGAAAAATGAATGGATAAAGAAGGTGTTATATATATATCTATATCTCTATACACACACACACACACACACACACACACACACACAGGAATATTACTCAGCCATTAGAAAAGATGAATACTTACCATTTACATTGATGTGGATGGAATTGGATGGTAATATGCTGAGTGAAATAAGCCAATCAGAGAAAGACAATTATCATACAGCTTTACTCATATATGGAATACAAGAAAGAGTGCAAAGAATCATAGGGGAAGGGAGGGAAACTGAATGGGAAGTCATCAGAGAGGGAGAAAAACCATAAGAGACTCTTAACTATAGGAAACAAACTGAGGGATGCTGAAGGGGAGATGGGTTGAGGGATGGGGTATTTGGGTGATAGGCATTAAGGAAGTCACAGGAAGTGAGGAGAAGTGGGTATTATAGGAAACTGATAAATTACTGAACACTATATCTGATAAATTACTGAATACTATATCTGAAACTGTATGTTGGCTAATTGAATTTAAATTTTAAAAAATAAGTTACACTTCTTAATAGGAACTTTAAATTTTTTTTTTTTTAATTTTAGAAGTTTCACTTCTAGGTGGATGTAGAAAGTTGAAAAAAATTATAGCTTCCACCTTAGTAAGATAATCCCCAAAAGGAACAAAATCATAACTTACAAAAATCTATTGGAAAATGGAGGTTGCAGGGCAACAATAATCTGGTATCCAAGGAAAGTCAGGCCCCACCAAAAGCACTTTATGGCAGAGCACAAGAGGAAGAAAGTCCGGGTGCCATACAAATGGCAAAAAGAATGAAGCTAAATTTTTTTTAACTGTCAAAAGCCAAGTACAGGAATTAAAGTATAGACCCTCTGAGCATCATAGACATAAAGGGAATTCACACCCACTGCCAGACTCTTCTATATATGCCTCCATCAGGTGTTTAGGAGAAAGGTTAGGAGCAGGGAAGAAAACTAGAAAATGCCTTTCATTGTAATGCAAGAATGGAGAAGGGGATGGCCTTTTGTTACAGAAAAGGCATGAAGCCCTATCAATATCATTTTCCTTTATGGAGAAGAAAAAAACCTTAAGCCACTGGGGGACAAGTAGCAAACCTTAAAACCCCACTACACAAATAAGACTCCAAACAGGAGGAAGAACAGAAAAAAAAAAAAAAAAAAAAAAACATACATATATATATATATATATATATATATATATATCCTCTATATCTGGAGGAGGAGAAGAAAAAACTGTCTCACACAAGACCCAACAATGATTCAAGGCAGAGAGGAAAGAGGGAAGACAGATGGGATCATTGAAAAACCCCACCCCAAGACCACAGCATATAGGACCTGCCTAAAGTTAGGTCCTGGTCTTCAGCTAGACCAAGACAACAGAAATACTCTTGTTCCCTCAATACTAAGATAGCAAGCACTAAAAAACAACTGTCATCTACTGCTAGGGATAAGACAAAAGCATGGAAATAAACTCTGTCTGTGGAAGGAGTACCCAGCAAAGGACAAAAGTTTAGGGTGGAGCAGATCAATGAGGGAAAACTCTCAATCACTCTAGCCCTTTCCCTTAGGAATAAGGTACCCCTAAAGACTCCACCAAAGATTACTAGAACTGATGAATGAATTCAGTGAGGTCACAGGATACAAAATCAATATACAGAAACCTGTTGCATTTTTATATAAAACTGATGAAGTAGCAGAAAAAGAAATTAAGAAAACAACCTCATTTTACAATTATACCAAAAGTAGTAAGATACCTAGTAATAAAACTAACCAAGGAGGTATAAGACCTATACTGTGAAAACTATAAAACACTCATGAAAAAATTAAAGATGATACATATAAATGGAAAGATAGTCCATGCGAACGGATTGGAAAAACAAGTATTGTTAAAATGCCTATACTACCCAAAGCAATCTACCGATTTAATGCAATCCCTACCAAAACACTAACAACATTTTTCACAGAAATAGAACAAATAATTCTAAAATTTGCATGAAACCACCAAACACCCTGACAACCAAAGCAATCTTGAAAAAGGAAAACAAAACTAGAAGTATCACAATCCCAGATTTCAAGATATACTGCAAAAGCTGTAGTAATGAAAACAGTATGGTACCAGCACAAAAACAGATACATAGATCAAGAGAACAGAATAAAGAGCTCAGATATAAATCCATGATTATTTGGTCAGTTAATCTTTGACAAAGGAGGCAAGAATATGCAATGGGAAAACGAAGTCTCTTCAAAAAAAGGGTGTTAAGAAAACTGGGCAGCTATATATAAAAGAATGAAATTGGACCACTTTCTTACACCATACTCAAAAATAAACTCAAGATGGACTTAGGACCTAAATGTGAGATTTGAAACCATAAAAAATCCTAGAGGAGAGCACAGGAAGCAATTTCTCTGACATTAGCCACAACAACATTTTTCTAGGTATGTCTCCTCAGGCGAGAGAAATAAAAGCCAAAACAGGGCACCTGGGTGGCTCAGTGGGTTAAACCTAGGCTTTCAGCTCAGATCATGATCTCAAGGTCCTGGGATCGAGCCCCTTATCGGGCTCTCTGGTCAGCAGGGAGAATGCTTACCCCACCCCCTCTGCCTGCCTCTCTGCCTACTTGTGACCTCTCTCTCTCTCTGTCAAATAAATAAATAAAATCTTAAAAAAAAAAAAAAAGCCAAAACAAACCTTTGGGACTATATCAAAATAAAAAGCTTCTATACAGCAAAGGAAAACACCAACAAAACTAATAGCATACTGAATGGGTAAAGATATTGGCAAATAACATATATGATAAAGGGTTGATATCCAATATATATAAAGAACTTATAGAACACCACCCAAAAAACAATCCAATTTAAAAATGGGCACAAGACATGGACAGACATTTCTCCAAAGAAGACATAAGATGACCGCCAGACATGTGAAAAGATAGCCCAACATCACTCATCATCAGGAAAATGCAAATCAAAACTGCAATGAAATATCATCTAACACCTGTCAGAATGGTTAATTCAAAAACACAAGAAACAAGTGTTCACAAGAATGTGGAGAAAAAGGAACTATCATGCACTATTGGTAATACAAACTGGTATGGCCACTATGGAAAACAGTATGGAAGTTCCTCAAAAATTAAAAATAGAACTACCATATGATCCGGTAATTACTCTACTGGGTACTTCCCCAAAGAATACAAAACACTAATTCAAAAAGATATGTACACTCCTATGTTTATTGCCGCATAATTTACAATAGCCAAATTACAGAAGCAACCCAAGACTCCATCAACAGATGAATGGATAAAAGAATGGATAAAAAACATTTGATATATAGATATAATAGAATCTTACTCAGCCATAAAAAAGAATTAAATCTTACCATTTCCAACAACATAGATGGATCTAGAATATATAATGCTAAGCAAAGTAAGTCAGAGAAAGACAAATACCATATATTTTCACTTATATGTGGAATTTCAGAAACAGAACAAATGAATAAAGGAAAAAAGAGGCAAAAGAACAGACTCTTAAATACAGAGAACAAAAGGATGATTACCAGAGGGGAGGAAGGTGAGGGGATGGGTGAAACAGGTGAAGGGGATTAAGAGTACACTTACTCTGATGATGAGCACTGAGTAATGTATAGAATTGTTGAATCACTATATTGTATACCTGAAACTAATATAATACTACACATTAATTATATTGGAATTTAATTTTTTTAATTTTTTAATTTTAAAAACAAAGAAATAAATAAATTAAAATATTAAAGTAACTCCATTAGAATTTGAAGCCAGTGATAAACTCAAAATAACCATAAAAACAATGAAATTTAACCCAGCTTAACTCATGACTAAATTGACATAAGCCCTCACACAAACAGCCAGGAGAAAAGGTATATCTATTTGCAGTGACAAATGGTATTTCTTTTTTTTTTTAAGGATTTTATTTATTTATTTGACAGACAGAGATCACAAGTAGGCAGAGAGGCAGGCAGAGAGCAGGGAGGAAGCAGGCTCCCCGCTGAGCAGAGAGCCTGATGCAGGGCTTGATCCCAGGACCCTGAGATCATGATCTGAGCCGAAGCTGAAACCACTGAGCCACCCAGGCGCTGACAAATAGTATTTCTATCACTGCCTACTGTTCTATACTAGGAGTCAAGTATACAACACAAAATTGAGGAACATACCAAAAAAAAAAAAAATCAAGAAAAAACAACCTA